CTCTATGCAATCGCAAGCGATCTGTTTAAGAGACAAAAAATACAAACAAAAAGTCAAAAATGAGGCTATTAATGTTGAGAAAATGTGATGTGTACCCCAGTCAGGTCCGAAGTTGCTCACGGGGTCATGAGGATGGAGGGTGGGGATCTTTATCTACTAAATGGTGTCGATTCTCTAAATTTAAAGCTAAATTTAACATCAGTCTCTCCTTTTCTCTCTGTATAGAGAATGACAAGGATACACTGTTGTCAAATTCAAGTTTAGGTTTGAGAATCATGCCAGAATTGACAACAATGTTATGCTAAATATAAATAATAAAACAATGTCCTTCATAACACCCGGCCCGTAGGCGGGTGGCACTGGATAAAGCCACGGGAATCTTTACGGTTACTTCCACAACCCTATTAGTGAGCCTCCGAATGAACGATCTGTATCTCCTCTTGAGGAATTCTCCAATCGGGGATGCCCCGGAGCAGCCGGGTATCACTTTACAAGCCTGCCGTGACGCATTATTTGAAACAAAGGCAAAACTTGTCGTATCCTTATTAGGATGAATGGGAGAATACTGAATTTGAGTCAGGTTCGCCAGCCGGTCAGGTTATTTTGGATAAATAATTAAATATCTTGTATTGAGTCTCTGTCGAGTTTCGCAAAACACAGACAAGACAAGGTAGTGTCCCAAAAGTTTGGTTAACTCGAGCTCCATCCGAATATGTATGTGTATGTGACGACCTCCGTGGTCGAGTGGTTTGGACGCCGGGTTTCATGGTGTCACCGACTCGAGAGGTCCCGGGTTCGAGTCCCGGTGGGGGCAGATGTTTGTGTGATAAATACGAGCATTTGTACTCCAGTCATGGATGTTTCATATGTATTTCTATATAAATATGTATGTACTGTATATGTATTCTATCCGTTACCCTAGCATCCCATAACACAAGACTTGCTTACTTTGGGGCCAGGCTAATTGGTGTAAGTGTTGGAAATATTTATTTATTTATATTCATTTATTATTTTTTTATTTTGTAAGCATTTAACTGCTAGAAATCTTTGGATTTTAGATATTATATCATGAAATACTAAAACTATTATCTAGTCAGCTATGCAGCCTATCTGGATCTCACTCAGAATATTCTGTTAATTTTTTTCAGAGCAAAGCTTCATATTAACTAATTATTAAATTTCTTATCATCTAACTTTCAAGAAAACTTTTGCCTTGTATTCCGCACAGCCTTTCTTACCATCTTTTATTTCCAGTTCATTGGGTTGTCTGGAAGAAATCGCTCACTAGCAATAAGACCACCCTCTGTGCAATATTGTATTTTCTACTTTGTTTTGTTTTCTGCTTGTTTTATTACTGTGCTGTGCAACAAAGAGTTTTAATCTCTATATTATCTTATAAATCGCAAGCATTGTACAGGAAGATGAAATAGCGCACATAAGATTATCAAATCTTTCTCAATTGAGTATAGACTTTATTAGACCGTCTGTCGTAAAGTTAAAAATTGGTTGAGGTAATTTCGCAGTTTGTGTTCAATGATTTGTTACTTTATCGTTTCGCATTACATCAGCGACGATGATTAATCAGTGTTTGACTCTAGTATCTCTCTCTATAGGTATCTGCCAGTGCGTTACATACATACGTCAGTCAGTGAAGATTATCTAGAGGCAGGTGACTTTTTTTTATCTTAAGATGAATAATTGTTGTTATACGAAAGAATTGGAACGCCTCTCTTGAGACGCAGCCAGCCAAACATTACCATTTGTGATGTTGTGTTATTGCTGTGATTGTGATGGCCAGGGATGCGTAAGTTAGGGAAAATGCAATTACGCAATTTACGCGAAAAAAGTTGTTCTGACCAAAAAATAATGATTGAAAGATATTAATTCATAAACGTAGTTGATTATTGTTAGTTTTCGTATAATGCGATTCAACTAAGAATAGGACCGACTGGGCGCCATATTTTGACGTCATGGCTGTCAATTCAAACCAAATAGGTAGAGTGAGCAAAAAAATGTAGCTATTTAATAAAACTTATTTATTAAGATTAAGTGATACAAACATCAGATTTTTTAATAAAATTAATTTACTAAGGTTGAGAAAGAACACAAACGATTTTGAATTGTTAGTATTTCTTTATTAAGACTGTGTGAAAAAAAACATTAATCAGAATCTTGCTCTTCAATTTTGCTCATCTCTGCGTTACCGCCGGAGAAGTTATTAATGATCATGTAGGTCACATACGAACATGCATCCTATATGTAAACGAAAGTTTTAAATCGAGTTTCTGAACGCAACATAAAGTGACATTTGGTTGACGATTTAGGTTATCAACCGTTCATAGCCAAAGCTCAATAAATGAAAAAAAATCAACTAATATTAATTATCAACATTTGTTATTGTTTTTTTTAAATGTTTGGTTTTGAATCGTGGAAAGAAGTTATTTAATGATTAATATTTTTGATATAGAAACCCTAAATCTTCAAGGGACAGAATTTTACTTCAAAATATTACTCAAGTGACTGTAAAAACCATGAATCCTTTGCTTTTTCTAAATAAAACACCAAATGTCAATTTGACAATCCTAAAATACAAACAAAAAAATCATTCGCATTTCTCATCCGCTCCCGCGTACTGTGATTGTGAATGTTCTCTGCTGTGATTGCCTTTTTATCCGTTATTTCTCTTGACGGCCCGGCTACATATACTCTGGATTTGCTGACGCCTATTACGATCACTACTGCATTCACCATGTGGATTCCGAAAACGCTTTCTACGACAAACTGCTTTCGCCCCTTGGAGATTATACTTATCTGCTTTTGAATTACAACGTAAGTTAAAATACATGATTTCATTATCATTTCTAATAAGTACAAACTTGGCATTTAATGACAATTTGATAGGGAGTCAATGTAGAAATACGTAAACCAAACCAAACCTACGTATTTGACATTGACAGCTAGTTGCTGATGACAAATATTGCCAGACTACGTTACCCAATTATGAAACACAGATAAAAAAATTAAAAAAGTATACAACTTTGGCACAAAATGCCGGGTGTCCTTTTGCAGTTTCTTGGATGGGTGACCAAAGGGTTTTTTACAGATCATTTTCCGTTAGGTAGGCCGCTACTTTAATGCACTAACAATTATATGTTCCGTTTTTTCAAGTAAATAGTAAAAAAGAGTCGTTCTTCGTAATCTTATAATGTAGTAAAAATAAGATTTTTTATAGTGTAAAAGAATATTTGAGTGATTGTAACTAGTGACACTTTAATGACATATAATTATAGTAGGTTCTTCTCTTTACCTAATGGTGCTTTATAATTAACATTGTAATCTTTGACATTATTAATTTGACTTTTCAATTTTTTAACCATGTATTTAATTTTGAATGCCGTTTTATAAACTGAAGCGCTTTTTGTAATTTCACTGACTTATTATTTATTTGATGAATTTAAATTTATTTTTATTTATATTGAAAAATGATTTCACAATGTAAATTAATATGTATTACGTTTAGTAATGTAGTGTAAAACATTTGCATGCTATTTAAGATGGCTGAATGGGCCGAACTTCAAAATTTGTAAGATCCCCAGTGTACCCTATTCAAATGCAAATAAATAAATTCTAATAATGTATAAAAAAATGTCAATGGAGAGTCTAAATATTAGGAACATTTTATACGGCCGCTTACAAGCACGACACACTCATGACACATAACTTCATGATACATGAATTCTACGTATTATTCAACAATAGGAAATATTTCGACCAAAATTTCTTAAACTATTATAACAATCCCTATTTATCAATTATAATTTTAGCATTATATTATTAACTAGCGGTCCGCCCTCGCTTCGCTTCGGTGTAGAGCTGAAGTGTAGACTACAGTTTTTGTTCTCAGGCTTGTATTATACACAGTGACATTCATCTATGATTCTTTTTATACCTGCATGCAAAGTCTCAGCCCGATCGGTTTAAAATTGACAAAGTTTCATACAAACTTTCAGTCCCTATTTTATTCCCTTGGGGGTAGAATTGATCAAAATCCTTTCTTAGCGGATGTCTACGTCATAACATCTACCTGCATACCAAATTTCAGCCCGATCCGTCCAGTGGTTTGGGCTGTGCGTTGATAGATCACTATGTCAGTCAGTCACCTTTGAGTTTTATATATAAAGATGAGGGTTTCTGCAATGAAGGTCGCTAGATGGCAGCACCGAGGCGAGAAGTCCACATCTCGAAACAATGCTTGAGTTAATATTTTCAGGTCTACATATTCTTCAAATTGCTAACTGATATGGCCTGAAGTGACTAACGGATGACCTTCTACTCATGTAATAAAATACTCGGTTTATAGTTGGTAAATTTGTGCAAAATGTCCATGTGAACAGTACAACTGGCAAGAACCATTATCGAATTCGAATAGTTTGCAAACCGAAATGTCAATGTCAAATTTTGTATGGAACCTTGAACAGCAGCGGCACAAAGTACGTAACGAGAATTAAAAATCAGTACTCATTTGACAATGACATTTCGGATTTACAAACGATAGAAATTCGATATTGGTTCGTGCTAGGGGTACTGTGGCGTTAATATTTCCGAAAACCCTTTTGCTAAATCACTAAATAAAAAATTGCATTGAATGGCAGCATCGTTCCGTCCGTGGTCACAATTTGATATGGAAAGGGCCATATTATGTAGCACATAGGATTGAAAGCGGTGCAGACCTTTTAACTGACATGCCTCACTATACTAAAAGGCGTATCCTTTGGTAGAGAAGTGGTAAATACCAGTGGCATTACCAGGATTCCAGAAACCGGCAACGGTAGAATCGTTCGTAGAACAATTGCCCTTTTTGAACATTCTATAAGAGTCACATTTCCATGCCATGAATCATTCAGGATGGGCGACTGTGGCCATCCAAATATCGATACAGATCCTGTGATTGCATTTGGCAGCTTTGGGCGAATCAAATATTCCAGGAATCAGAGGAGTACCGCAGTTCGGCTGTGACGCTCCCTTTCTGTTGACGAAAAAGTCCACATCGGCTATTATACAAGTGGTGCCTAATCCTCCAGCATTACAATGGTACACCTCCACATATTCTGCCACCCCAGACCTGATTTGCTCTTGCATTAAGCTGTTGGAGAAGCACGGACCAGCTGGGTCTAAGCCGGTAATCCTCCAGACTTTCTTTCTCGTGCTGTTAAAAAAGACCTCGCCAGCTTGACCCAAGATTTGGCTCCCTAAGCTGTGGCCAATGCAATGTATGCTCTTCGGCGAAATACCTCCTTCTGATAACTTAGCAAGCATATTGCCCAACGCTTTGCCAATATAGTGGACATATTTCACGGACCTTTCGTAGCTCTTTTTGATGCCTTGTTTATCGTTCGTGTAAGGGGAATGGTCGAGGATGATCAGGTAACTGTTGGGGAAGTTTCTGAAGGTCTGTCTGACTTTCTCTTCTGTTCTTTTGTTGATGTTGGACTTGAAGCCTCCGACAAAGATAATGAATCTCTTGCTCTTGTCCAGGTTTTTGATGGAGAGGATGCCGTTGGCGGCTTTTTCTATTGTGAATGTTTCCACGTGGTTTTTGGGTAAGTCGTAGAAGTACACCTTTATCTCGCTGACGTCGAGGTTCAAGCTCCTGTCATGATTGCCTGCAAGTAAGAGAAAATGTGCATTCATTATGGGAAATCCTACAAGTTCCTTTCTTTTATAAATGTACACACATTCGTAAATATCACTCTGCCTTAATTACAAAGTTATTAGCTGAATGTAATGAATCGAGTATGTATGTATGTATCAATGGGTCGAGGAATTATATAGATTTTTTGGAGGTTACTCCTTAAGAATCGATTTGCATATATAAGGGGCCCGGTATTAGAAAAATGTGAGGAGTAAAATCTATCGATGAATGACCTCGTTACGTTTTTGGTGCGCATCCTACGTCGCGCAACTTTGACAAACAAAGATGACGGATTGACATTAATAAAATTTTTAAAAACTGAACTCAATTTAGATATTGTTTCTGATAGAGCAATGGGGACAACGAGGAAAATACCGCATCAATGGTTGTACCAACCATTGATGCGATATTTTCAAGATTCGTGAACCACGTATCTACGAACGTCCGTGTGTCTTATTTTAGTTACCATAAACCTCTTGTCACTGTAATTAATAGTGCAGACAATGTTGATTTAATTAATATTTAAAAAAATGATAATAGTCTGATAATAATAATTACATAATTTATCAACATTCCTAATGATATATTTATGCACATCTGAAATTGACTATTGTAAAAAGTTTAATGTAAAATATTTCGTCGATTAGTTATAGTAAATGTATATGAAATGAATAAATATATATTTATATATGTATATTATTTTCATTAATTTGTTAATTTACCTTTTCATACAGTATCAATCTTTTTTAAGTTAAATAAACTCTTTTTGCGTCTGGTTAGACTATCGAACTGAAGGAGTAAAGTCCAGTCGTGCGTCAGAGCTGACACACACAATTTTTTCCCTTTTCTGTATGGGTACGTTATCAAAGGATGCACTTAATAAGGCAAGGCTCAGTCGGATAGATATATTCCAATTCGAACTAGTTGTAATAAAAAGTCTATCATTTCCTCATCAAACTGCGGAACAGCAGACTAAAGTTACATGTGTTAATAGCAAATTACTATGTTTCTTTGAAAACTGACAAGGTTTTATGGCAGACTAGTTTCAGCCCGCTGCCTCGTCTACTTGAAACTTTGTCTTTATGAAAGTCTTAAACTTTCACCTGGATGGTAAAAAATAACTTGAAAAAATTTTTTTGGTACTAATTTAAGTTATATGTTTAATTAGGCTCGTTAATAGCTATATTAGTTATATATAGCTATATATAGACGTGTGTTCCATAATACATAATAAAAATTACAGGCCTTATCTTACCATTTACTTAAAAATAAAAAATATGTATGTGTGTGTGTTTGTATATATGAGTGTGAGTGTGTGAGTCTGTATTTGCGTGTGTGTCTATGTATGCATGCGTGTATGTTTATGAGAGTGAGAGTGTCCGATTGTACTAAAATGATAGTTGCATGTGATTTCACATGTATATCCGTGTATTATTTGATGACCTTGAGTAAGCTCTCTACTACTACTACCAACTAATTGCTTATAAATCAATTACTTCGTCCCTAGTTGTATATAGGACCGCATTACGTCGTATGCGCATGGATATTATAGAACCATAAGATCTCCGTCATTAAAATTGTTTTTTAACTGCTCGCGAGCACTGTCTGGAGTCGATCGCCAGCGTCGATTGCTTTTCCCCTCCTGAGCCGCCGGTCAGGAGCGAGGATGACGCGCGAACCAACCTGACCATGATCGCGCGGAAGTAACCCCCTTACCACCGCCACCGAAAACAATCGATGCCACTCCGCCTCAACAAAAGACTCCGCAGGCTACAGATGACATTTCCATCACCCCAGCCCTCCCAACACCATTACATCGTCAAGCTCGTACTTCACCAGCCGTAATCGCCCTATCCGGATGGGATACGGCGATGGGATAGGATAGTGCGCCAAGCAACAATCACCGCGCCTCATATATGAATCTGATGCCATGGTTGTGGTTAGGCTGGCAAAATCTCGCATTCTGTCGGACGGCCTGACCCGCTGGATGGAACTAGGAGACACTTCAATCCTCACCCCCGTCGATTAAATGGCGCTGCAGGCATTGCACGGCAACGAAGACCTGTCGATCGAATAAGAGATGCCACCTAACCAAAGCGCAAAGCGCAAGAGGGACCCACCATCAACCAAACTCTCGAGGGAGGAAAAGCGCGTGTGCGCAAGCACTGCGCCCACCTTTTTTTTCGATGACGGGGAGAAAAAATGTATTATATCCATGACAATGACCAACGCTACGTTGGTTTGCTGTCAACAAACTCTCGCGACGTAGGTAATTGCGTGGTGCATTCGGCAAGCGGCGAGCAGCCCGAGAGCTGCTAGTCGGTGCGGGTATACTTTGACGTGCACTCACGTAAGCGTGGCATACGTCAAACCACACCGTTTCCGACTAGCGGCCCGGTCCGCACCCGCTTTAGCCGATCCTGGGTTTCTTCGTTCATAGCGTCACCTGACTAGTCTCACGAACCGCAGCCCGAGTGGCTAGCCAGCCGACCAGCTCCCGTATCTACCAGGTAAACCAACTCCCCGATCTACCTCTCGCCCTCCAGGTGTAACTGCGGGATCCAGTTATGAGTGGCCGCTTGTTACGCCTGGGACGCCCATCCACCCTAGCGACCCGCGCGTCGAAAAGCAGCGGCGATAAGCCGTCGCTCTTTTCAACATCATCGACGCAATCCCACACACTGACGACGCAAGCAGCCTAAATGCAGACTCCAGCACCATTCCCCAGAGAGAGCAGCGCCCACGTCGAGTCATTGCAGACGCAGAAGAGTGGGGATTTAATATCAAAACCGACCCGTCGTCTAACTGAACGCGAACCCGACTACTCAATGAAAATGATGTTTGTACTTATCAATTATTAGGTATTTAAACTGCACAATATTTAAATGTAAAGGAAAAAATATTGTATTTTCTCTAGCTACAAATTCTACTTGTATTTTGGTTTATTTTAAAATTCATACCTGATAACTCGTTGATCTCATTTAAATAAATAACTTATAAAATAAATATACCTATGTATTGAAATAAAAAGCGCTGAATAGTCAAAACAAATAAACGTAGCTGCAACGAAAATCCAAAAAGGCCTTTGCGTGAAATTGCAACGGTAGCGATAGGTATGTGAACGTAACACTTTCAAATATTACATCAATGAGAATGATTCATCGTCATTTTATCGTATTGTTGATTTAGTTCAGTTGAGATAAACTATTGTGCAAGGTTGTTGCACTACACTATGAAGCGTCGCAGATTTATTGTAGGTCTTAAGAAAAATATTAAGCACATCGAACCTCCTCCTCAAATGAACGATTTCTTTTCTAAAAGTGCTAGGTTTGAATCATTGGAGGTGAAACGGAGAGCTAGTGGAATGGAAAATGTAAGCTAGGATTTTGGACGCAATGGGTTTATTGAGACTATTTTAAAAATTATATATGAATGATTGGTCTCGCTTCACTCGAGACCAATTATTTATCTATGTTTAAAGTAGTACACAAAATAATATTATAGCAGATGACAGACAAAGACTACGAGAAAACAATAACAATATTTTTTTGACGACCTCTGTGGCCGAGTGGTTTGTACGCCGGGTTTCATGGTGTCTTTCGAATCCCGGTGGGGGAATATGTTTGTGTGATGAATACGAGCAATTTGTACTCTAGTCATGGATGTATAATATGTATTTCTATATAAATATGCTTATATATGTACATTATATGTATGCATTCTATCCGTTACCCTAGTATCCCATAACACAAGCTTTACAGTGCTTACTTTGGGGCTAGGCTAATTGGTGTGTGTTTAAAAAAAAAACATAAATATGTCAATACTTTAAAAAAAATATAAAATCTAAATCTATCAAAAAAAAGGTAAATTTAAAAAATAAAAAAAACCCGACTGCTTAATTATTTATACTCCAAATAAAAACTGAAAAGAAAAAAACAAGTCCAGTAGTCTTTAATTCTGTTAATAAGGAACAAAGTTACTTTAACAGCCGGGACCCGTTAGATATTCAAGAATACATAATATTTTTCAATACCCTGTCTGCGCGTCGCGCTTCCCGCTCTTGCATTGCGCAGTCGGGTAAAAAGGGTCGGCAACAGGAGGGGTGTTTGTTCCTGAGTCATAATGTTTTTAATTGACTTCAAAAAGAGAACGTTCAGCATTCGGCAATTTTTTTTGTATAAACATTATCTAAATCAGGTAATAAATAATTGACATGATTTTGATGTTTATTTATCCAAATAATGTTCAGCTCGTAAAATAGTACTTTAAAGTCAACACTGCATCTGAAGTTGGTTCAATCTCAAGCATGTATTGACTCCAACCTACTTTGGTATTTTTAACCGTAACATTAGATGCAAACAAGGATACGAGTAATCCAATTGAACAATGAGATAATGCTTGAAGGACGATATTATAAGGTCTTCTATTTAATACCAATTGAGCAAACGTTTGCGCCAAAAACTGCGGCATGGAGGAGTGCAATGGCGTAGATGGTTAACGTGGTCAGTCATTAAATGGGTGACCAAAAATTTACTGTATGCATGTTAAGCCGTTGGTCTCCGGCTGCATCTGCGGGCGTAAGCACCCACCGATCCGCACTGGGCCCGCGTATTTGCTCATGCCCCAATCACCCTATTCCATCCATAGGGAAAGCCCGTGTATTTTTATTTAGCCCGAAAGTATTACACGTATTACACGAGTAACAACAACTTATTTATTACACGAGTAATAAGTATTACACGAGTAATAAGTAAGTTGTTGAATTACCAAAACGTTCGCTTTTCAACACCAGCCTATTAATATTCCCACTGCTGGGAACATATTTTTTATATTTTGCTCGTGTAAACCAATGAAAATCATTAAAACTCAATATGAATTTAATTATTACGTTTTCATGCACACCAGTCATTAAATAAAAGTCAATGTACATTTTTTATCTCTAATAAGAACAAGGATACAATATTGTGAGGACAGAGTTTCACCAAGTAGTAACGACTAA